CGGTAGACTTCGACCCCGTAACCGAACTCCTGTCATATGTTTGTGGACTTAACCACGGAAACGCTTGCAACTACTTGGGCAATTATGGTCGGGGTTATACAATACTTGCAAATCGCTTGCGCAGCTGTGAAGTGCGTCATCTAATATGATGCTAGGCAGGTTGGGGTGTACCGTAATAGGCAGGAAGGCTCCAGGCCCACATCATTAAATATTGGATGGAAAGTGATGGAAACAAACTTCCGCAAGATTCCGGGCTGCCGTAGCAAAAAAAAGCCATGTCCGTGTTTTTCTGGAGAGCGATGTTTCGGTGCCGGGTCGGCTGCGGGGTATAGCGGCTATGGGAAGCACTTTTCTTGTTCTGATGTGGTTGTTTTGCCATGAGGTGAGCGAACACGGCTAATACTTCATGATAGCATCTCGCTGTGACTGTTAAGTGGGGTCTATCCTTGCAAGTATACGGACGGACCATGGGCAGTACTCAGCACTAGTATTCTGCGTTTTGTGAATACAAGGCTTGTAGGCAATGCTCAATAACATTCCCTTGCTTTCTCGTGGGTTCTTTTCTTGTGAATAAGGGAATTCATGGTGGGGTTTCTAGTGTGAGTCAAGCTTTGAAGCTAAGTCTTGCATCTCCCAACGACAACTGATTCTTCACCCCGTTTTTGACCATGTCCACATGTACCTCAGGAGCCTTAGACCTTAGAAGTACATGTCGACTGCATGGGGCGAGTTACTTTCGCAAGCAAGTGCCGAACAGAGTGGGACATGACTCCATGTGAAGCCAAGGTAGGAAGAAATATGTCTGGATATGTGAAACGGTGAATCGCAACTGTGAGACCAAACCGTACGGAGAACTATCACTACCGAGGAGCCCCTGCGCAGCCTGAAGGACCACAAGCTTCCACAGTCTCGGAAGGCAGATCCAAAGAGCTATCAACCTCAGTATAACGAGAGACGTTCGCAGGATGTGGAACGTTGCAAGCCCTCTTGCAGGTAAAGAACAAACGTTGCTGTAGCCGGGCACCTTGCTATTTGACCGATGGCTTCAGACAGCACCTCGCGGAGTTGTTTGTCCAATGAAGATCCCAACCCTTGCACAACCCAAAAACGCCCAAAGGAAACCGCGTGACAGCCTCACCAGCAGAAACCGGTGCTCTCGCCTGTCGTGTTCGGCTATCCGCAAGAAATTAAAGTCAGGGGATGTTGGTGCACCCAGCTTGCGGCAAGCGGGGCAGTGCATAACCCACTGCCATCCGCTGCCCGTCGCTCGCATGTGTTGGGCTGCAAGTCTGTAAGCTCCAGGCTACTGCACCAAGAAAGTCGCCTTCGAAATGCCGGCGTTCGAAATCGTCACCTCACTCATAAGACTCGTTTGACAGAAGTTCGCGCAGCAAGTTCAGCCTAGCGATACAGTGTTTGTTGATACTGGCGTAAAACTACCAGTTAGCAGGCTCTCAAGCAGTCGCGAGTGCCCCAGCCCAAAAAGGACAAACGTCTTTTTGATATCGGCTCGCTGGGTACCGATGGCGGACTCTTCCTGACACGGAAGCAACCTTGGTGAGCAAAGAAGCACTGTTCATACAAAAAACTCAAAGTTGCTATCGCGAGACCGAGGAGCAATCTCAAACATGAGAAGATTTTCTGCTGCAGCCATAGAGGGCCATGGGCGGAGTGCTCCCGCAGGATTGAAGTCATGTCAAATAATCCTTGACAAGCAAGCCGTGGCATTTGATGGTCATCATTGCCAGTCACCGCAATAACAACAGAACTCGTCACCGTAGCAAAGACTGGACTGTTTGCTACCCTGCTACAAGAGTATCTTGAACCTTCTGCTCGCTTCGTCAACACAGTGTAGAGTCAGTGTAGAGAGATGTTCAGAGAAGACGGACATCGTTACCAATGACACTGGCAACGACGGACCAAAAATTCGACATCTGCAGTAGTTTACTTTGTGCAAGGACGACACGGTGCTCACAACACTCGCAATAGCCGCAAACAAGCATGAACTGTTCAAACTGGGCAAAGTAAAAAGCGTAGGTCGGCAAAGAACTGAATTTTCACTGTGGCTTTGCACCGGGACTGCTGGGTGCTCACGGTAACTTGCAAAGAAGTCGCCTTGGTCATTGCCTTCGAAACCCCAGTTCTCCAAAACCGGCTTCTGCACCTGCAAAGGAAAATTTGCAGCTCCCGGACAGCTCTCTTACACCTCTACAGAGTCTATCTATGCTGGCCCAACCCAGCCACCTCAAACGCAACATCATGAAGCCGCTCAAGCAATGTCTGCTTGTCGTCAGATTCCTCGATGCATTGTCGAACTAAATCCTGAAACCAAGGTTGTGAATATCCTCTGGCAAGTTCATCCACGAAATCGCCCGTCAAAGTCAAGGTCAACTCCTGCACGAAGCAAAAGACATGCATGGCACTCGACGCAAACCAAAGTCTGTTACTGCCTAGGACATGAAATTCAACCGAGTGACAGCAGTGCGCTCCCATGTCGAGCATTGTCGGTCTGATGCACCATTACATGCCCCTCCAGGCCGCAGACGAGCAGCATTCTCATCCATCAGATTCATGCCCTGAAGCTTCATCCCATGTATGGCCAGTCAATTAAACCGCCAAAAATGTCCACGGCTTCCTGTTGCCAAAATCAGCAAAAAAGATACTAAACATCCCCATGTAAGCAGCATTCGCTTCTGCAGCCAGGAAGGGCTTCGTTGGTTCGCACAGGCCACTTCGTTGGAGCAGCCGCTCTTGAGCTGCCAGAAGCAAACTCAAGTGATGTTCACGGCTCCTGCAACCAAAAACCCAGGTGTTGGTATCTTGTGCCAACAATCCAACACCTTCGGCAAAACCACACAAAACCTGATACGAACCGAGTACCCGAACGCCAGAAATCTGTCAGCACACTGAACTCATCCCAAGCCTTGCTGCGGCAGGACCGAAACATCCAAAGCTACTCCAGGACCCCGGAATGTTTCCAGTGGTTCTCAATCGCCCACTCCAGGGCTACAATACACAAGCTGCAACAATGAACGGTAACTCATCAACACTGTCCAACACCCGTCACAACATGCTTCATGGGGCTAATCCTGTATGTTTGTCCCTCAACTTTATCTGTGGTCAACATGTGCCTTAGAGTGGTCACCTGTGACTCTTTCAAGAATCGCTTGCACGTTCCTTACAAGTCATAACTCCGTCCTAACCACCACGCACTTTTTGTGGATTAGATTTTGTTTACGGTATGCCTTCCACCAAGTTAAAAGCTTCCAGTTGGCAACTGTTCTTTCTGGTGGACATCGGTTACAGCGACACTCCTGCAAACACATGCGTGCAAGGCCCTTCACGCCTGAACAAATAAAAAACGACCTTTTGTAGTGTCGGGGACGCACCGCTTGCCACCATCGCATGGCCTTCATCCGTCGTGTAAGCTAGTTAGTGATTCGCATTCGCTTTTCCGCGCACGAGAGGTCGCAGCTGGAATATTCCATCAGCTGGAGGAATGGGCAGGTACTTGAACCGCGGCATCGCGGAGTTCAGCTTCATACTCATCACTGTTGGCAGTGATTCGCACTCGATTTTCCACTCCGGATAGAATCTGCACACGAGAGGTCGCAACTGGAATGGTCCATCAGTTGGAGGAAATCAAAGCTAAGCCCGTGTCTCCCACAATCACCCGTCTGGTGGAGATAAATCTCCCACACATTGTTCGGAACATGCGCTTCACACCAAAGCTCGGCCTATCTGAAGACTACTGAAGCAACTCCGAAAATCCTTTCCTTTTGCCAAGCCGGCAACGAAGGAGAAACGTCCCCCTCCTTCGAACCAGTTCTGAGTCCTCTGTCTGCTGCAACATGACGTTGCCCCTCCTGTCCTAAAGGACCCCAAATCAAGGGCCCGAACGTTGGGCGGAGGAGGGGAGGACGAACTCGCAGAAGCAGCTGATCAAAACGTTTCGAAAAGTCTGCGCTGACATCGGCCGCAAGAGGTCGCCCGGCGGGAGCA